AAAAAAGTCCCTGCCCTATGGAACTTACATCCAACAATGGGGTAAAGAGTAAACGAATAAGTAAATATATGGCCAGCAGTGGTCAGCGCTTAGAGTAAACACAAAGGTAGGGAGCTAGTGATAGAATGATGTGGGTGTTGGGAACGGGCTGATATTTTAGGTAGAGTAGTCAGGGAAGGCCCTTCTGATGAGGTGAGCAGAAAGATAAATGAATGAGCCAGGTGGCTGCACAGAAATAAAGTGTTCTGGACAGAAAGAACAGTCAGAGAAAAGGCCCTGAAGTGGAAGCATGCTTGATGTGTGCAAGTAAAAGCAAGGAAGCCCATGGGTTGGAAGCAGGTGAGGAGTCCAGGAGACGAGGATGGGGTGGGGACAGGCAGGCAGCACCTTGTGGCCAAGGGGAGGACTTTGGACTCAGTTGATGCTAAGTGTTGGGGGAAGCCATTGATAAACAGGCTTACCTCACAAGAGCTGTTAGTATTTGATTTTACCTAAAAAAGTAAAAGGTAAATTCTGAATAGAATAGAATAATTTGACATCCATGCATGGCAAGTTCCAGAACAAGTTTCTAACTAGGTGACGATGAATATTTAGGAAAAGATTAAGCCATGATCTTTGAACACCAGCCAAACACTCTTCCACCTCTGCCATTGCAATTAGGTGACCCCAGACAATTTATCTTGATCCAGCAAAGCATTTGGCATTTGTCCTTGTGCACAAGACAGAAATGTGAGCTGGATGATGGAGACTCAGATTTAAAACTGAACAATTTTGATTAAGCTGAAGGAGATCTCTATGGAGGTGTCTCAAAGCTCCATCCTGGCCCTGGGCTGCCTGGTATTGTCATGAGTCCCTTCAACCTGCAGGTGGCTGAGAGGGCGCTCCAATACAATAACTGAAGCAGATCCAAGGCAGCCTAGACAGATTGTAAAGTTGGGTTGAAACCAACAAGATGAAATTCACCAGGGATGAGTGCTAAATCCTGTGTTGAGGTTCCAAAAAAAATTGGTTACATAAGAATAGGACTGGGAAATCTGGTTAGATGGAAATTTATGAGAAAGAGAAAGAAATGGAGGGAGAGGGGAGAGAGAGAGAGAGAGAGAGAGAGAGAGAGAGAGAGAGAGAGAGAGAGAGAGGGGGAGGGGATAGAAAAGGAAAAAAGGAAAGGAATGGAAGAAAGGCAGAAAGAAAAACAGAAAAAAGGGAAGGAAGGAAGGAAGGAAGGCAGGAAGGAAGGAAGGAAGGAAGGAAGGCAAAAAAAAAAAATCTGGTGGTTTTGTCCACAAGCTCCAAACAAGGTCCCCTTAAGTCAGAAAACCCAACCAGGGGACCCAACTTAATGAAAAGCACCAGAAGAGAAGCCTGTTTTCCTGAGGTCCTTGTCCTAGGCACCAATCCCCTCCAAGGCACCACATTGTGAGAAAGAAAAGGTGACAAGCCAGAGAGAACCAGGAGAGGGATACCAGGTTAGTTGAGGATTTGGGCACCCAGAAACTGAGTGATGATAACAACCAGAAACTGGAAGGAAGGAGAGCCAGGCCCGGGCTAGAGGGCTGGCCAACAGCTGTCTTCAAACGTGGGGTTCCGATGGCTGAGGAAGAACTAAAAGACTCATTGTCATTCATGAACAGTGGGACCAATCTGTGATTCTCAGTGGGGGAGACAGTCTGCTTGCATCACTAAAACGTCCTAACCATTACGACTGCCCAGCAAAGGATCTTAATCACCTGAGCCAACAATAGCACCTGTCAGGCATGTGCTAGGCACTTTATATCATTATCTCATTGAATCTTTACAACAACCCCATGAGGTAGAGATTATTACAATTCTCACTTTAAAGGAAGACTGAGGATCATAAGGGTAAGTAACTTGCTCAAGGCTTAATAAGAGGCAGAAGCTAGACGAGAACCGAGACTGACCAATTCCCAGGGGGCTGCGCCCTAGCTCTCCAGCACTGCGCGGGTGTTTGTGCGGAAAGGGGCCATAAATTAGGGCAGTTCTTACACTTTTTAGAGACACTCATAACTGTGCGTGCTCTTTGGGTGTGTTGCAAGCACTAGCCATCCCCCCCCACCGCCAAAAAATTTTGCACCAAATTTCGGGGGTTCTGGAACTTCAAAGATTGGACCCTGTTCGCTACGCTCCCTTGCAGCTTGGAGTCTGGGAGCGCCGGGTGGGGGCCCCCGGGCGGGCTGAGCGCGGGCACCTCCAGCCTGTGGCGGGCCGAACAGGGCGGCGAGGGGGCGGTGCCCGGAGGCCTGCGGGATGGGGCGCCGCCTGAAGGGGGCGCTGGCGGCGGCTCCGGGCGGAGACAATCGCGCTGAGCGGCCGCCGCAGCCAGAGCGGGAGCCCGAGCCGAGCGGCGCAGAGCTGGGGCTGAGCGGGGCCGGCCGAGCGGGGCCGGGCGGGAGCCATGGGCCACTAGGGCCGGGCCTAGCCCCGCGATGCCGCCACCGAGTGGCCCCAGCATCCTTGCGCGGCTACTGCCGCTGCTGGGGCTGCTGCTCGGCGGCGCCTCCCGGGCTCCCGGCAAGTCGCCGCCGGAGCCCCCCAGCCCGCAGGGTGAGTCTCGGCCAGGAGGGGCAGCGATCACGGGCCTGCGCCCCCCCACCCCCATTCCCCGATCGGACCCCGCCCGCCAGCCCCCTCTTGGCGGCGCTCGTGAATCGGGGGCTATTCTATTTCCTAGATTTGGGTGGGGGAGCTAGGCGACCTGGGGTCCGCCCTTACTGGGGAGAGGGGTCCGCCTGGGCAGGGGTCTCGGGAAGGTACAATAGGGAGGATGGGGGTCTTCAGTCTCCGCGCCGCCGCCCCCTCCTGCCTTGTTTTTCTCCCTCTTGGTCCGCGAGGCGCTGCTGCCTGAGCCATTGTCTACCGAAGACACCCGCCCAGGGGCGGGCTGGGGCGGGCGCCGGCTCTGCAGCCCCCTGCGGGTTCCTCGATCCCGACCCCGGCTGGGTGGGGGCGCAGGCATCGGCTGCTACCCTGGGCCCGGACGGGGGCTGGGCGCCTAGAGCTGGGTTTGATGGGGGGAAGGGAGGGGGGAGTGGGTGAGGCTGTGGGCGGATTGACTGCTCGAATAGGGTTCTTCTCCTTGGAGCCTGACAACCCCCAGGCGGTCCCCCAGGTTCAGATTTTGGGGTGCACCAAAGAAACGCTACTCAGCCCATGACAGAGGGGCTGCAATTGGGGGAGCTCTGGAAAACGGGATACATTGTGATTCCCAGCTCAAAGCGCATGGCTGGGCTGTGGTGGCGGAGCCATGCTGAGCTGGCTAGCGAGCTGGCTGTGGGCAGTGCGGCTGGGAGGGCAGGTGCCTGGGTCCCCATCCAGCAGGCCTCCAGCCACTCCTGTCCCCAGCCCGCTCCCAGGTCACCCCCTCCTCATCTCACCTCTCCATCGCAGTGGAGGAGACCCTCCCAGCGCCTCCCCGGCCCAGGTGGGTGTGTGAGGTGGGGGTGGGGTCGGCTCCTGCAGCGGGAGAGGGTGGGAGAGCTAGACCATGACTTCCTCCCTATGCCTGGGCTCTCCACCCACTCCAGCCCTGCACCCACCTTCCAGCCTCCTGCCCCACCACCCAGCTATTGCTCTCCCATCTCCTGCCTCTGGACCCCATCCCTTTCCGAACCTGAACCAGTGCTCTCCATTCCTCACCTCCCCACCAAGGAGCCGGCAGGAAAGGCAGGGTGGGGGAGTCTAGATGAGGGAAGTGGGGTCCGGATGAAGGGAGGGGGTCGGATTTCCTCCTGGAA